GCTGAGCCTCAGGGGGTGCCTGTGAGGTGGGCTTTGTTTGCTGGGTTTGCTTTGTGCGTAGGGCTATAATTGTGTAATAAAAGTCGACTTCCAAATTACTTTGAAAGCCAAAAAAAAAAAAAGTGGAATTTGGTAAGGGACCTGCGCTACTGCTGGGTACTGATGCTGTTTGTTTCAGTGACCCCACCTAAGCCTTTATTCTCTTTCAGCCTCATGCCGGGTTTTAAGGAGCTGCTCCACTTTTATCAGGGAAAACGGAGTTATTTTAGCAAACAAAACTTTCTTCCCACTTATTCCCTTAGAGCAGTGCTTTAGTGAACCAAAAGGGAAAGAATACATCCCATGTCTCCTCTTTAGGACTGTGCACACGAATGCCATACCAGGGATCAGCTGCATTGAATTTTACTAAGATCTCTCAGCTCTTGGTTCTTCGTTTTTCATGAGCTGCCTCTCGTATAATAAGAAGTTTGTGTTTAATAATAAAAACTTAGTCTTCTATTGAACCAGAGGACTGAAAAGCTGGATCTTGTAGAAAAATTAGAGCGTCTTCCAAAAATTTGGAGTATGGGTTTTCTGCAGAGGACATGAGAGTGAGCAGTTTGGGCAGAACAAAAACAACATTTGAAAGCAGAGCCTTTTCCTGCAGCAAAATGAATTCAGTTAAATAGTGATTGGTTGAGAGTCTGTGTGGCATGATGGACAGGGAGATTCTGGAACAGGGCAGGGCCAGGATAGAGAAATTCTGTGCTGAAGGGCAGACTCCTGTCTGCTGGGCAGTGCTTACTCCAAATGGGTGTAGGGCTTCAGCTCAGCCTACACCACAGCCCACACTCTGCCTGTTAGGAATGAGCATTACAGCATAGCTCCACTGAGAGTCTGCAGAGCTGGAATCCCACTGGAATCATCTTAATGCTTGAGAAGGAGCTCTTCTTTGCGTCTTCTGCCTGGAAGGAGTTGAAGCTCTGTAGGGGGATACAGCATGAAGGTGGTATAGAATGTAATCTTATCCCCCAAACAGTTGCAGCTGAACCAATTACTAAAGATTAGGAGCAGACCTGATCTTAACAGGCCGTGCCTGTAGCCAATAAGAACAGTGGTATAGAAGAGTGGATTGGTGGGATCTGGAGTTATGACTACTGCAAGGAGCAGGAAGAGTCTGTGCTTAGAGGAGCTTCCTACAAGACACATCAAGGAGGTATGAAACTCTGGCAATATGGAATCCTTGCACTATAATGATAATAGAACTCTTGATATATAAGGCAACAAAGCTCAATGCATTTTTGGAGAAATGAGTGTAGTCTCAAGCTCTGCTGTTAGGGCTAGGATTAATGTTAGAGCTAGGGAAGTGAGCACCCTCAGGATTACAATTCCGTGCTCCTTTCTGTCCTGATTTACTGGCTAGCTTTTCTGGATGGATCCTGGACCTGAATTGTCCGTAACCTCATCTCCAGTCTTGTTTCTGGCCCTGTCTTTTAGATGGATCTCAGATTCATGTTATAGGTGGTCCTTTTTCCTGGATTGTCCCTAGACTTGGCTGGGATATGATAGTCCTATTGTACTTCAGGTTCTCTGTGTTGCACCTCTTATATATATTCATAAATATATTAGTGGTTTATTTTCTGTGTTCACAGCATAACTTAGGTTGCGTGAGAAAACCAAACCAGTACCTCACTGCAAAAGTTTCCTGTGGGATGTGATGAAGTAAGATATAAAAATGCTGTTAAAAAAAAATCAACCCCTCCAGCATCTACATAGTGGAGATTTAATAATCCACACTGCAAGCATATGCTGAGTGAGGTCTAAGAACCTGTTTGTACTGCATTTCTAGTTTGGCTAGTGAGCAGTTATAGCACCTTCATTATGTCTTTTTACTTCCTTGCATTCTGATTTCAAAGAAGGGATAAATTAGCCTTCCTTCATTTCATAAAGCACTTCCAGAGTTACACATCTAAATCTCTAGCACTAGGAATTAGGGCTATATTCCAAACAAACACATATCTTTTTGAACAGATATAAGAGCTGGTATACTCTACCACACTCAAGCTATGAAACACACATGATTACTGGCACTCTTTATTTTCTAACAAATAAACCCAGAGTTTTTATAAATCAGACACAATTTTAACATGCATGAAATTAAAATGAGATATGGAAATGTAAGTATGTATTGATTATGTAAGCATGCATTAAATTAATGTATAGTGCTGAATGGCATGGATTTTAAAAATAAACACTATAGAATCAGACAGCAGGGAAGTGAGATAAGGAAATGTTCCTGAAATTAAAAGTTTTAAGTTAAAAAAGTAAAGTTTTTCTGAACATCTTTAGTACCCCCAGCATTATTGAAACTGATATTCAGCAGCCTATCCTTCATTTTTATGAAGAAGGCAGGGTTTTCCACCTGCAGTTTTGTTTGAATATGTAGCCTAGCACAGTGCTGACTAGAGAACTGATTGTTCTTTAGGGGCTCACAAGAAATGAGCAGGGATGTTTTTCTGGCTCCTGATAGTCAAAAGTCCACAGCACAGTTATTATTTACCCAGTGAGTAGCATACACCAGTGTTTTCACTCTGCATGCCAACTACTAAACTTAGCCCTCTGGACTCTGATGTCAGCATAGCCAGCTGTGAACTCTACTGAGCTGGAAAAAGCTGTGTTTTCTGCAGGGATGCTGCTGAAAAACCTGTCTTCACAGATTCTCTTAGTTCATCTGCAAGACAGAAGTTCTTATCTGCAAGATAGCTCTCACCATTACCATAAAGATGAGAGAATAAACTGCTATATGATTCCTGTAATGTAAAGTGTTACAATTTGAAAAAGCATTCTGAAATGGGTGATAGATATACAGACTTAGCTTGAAGCCCTGAAAAGTTTCAGACAAGACTTCTGGGCAGTCTGAAGAGGCTCAGGGTTACAGGGTTTATCACAGCAAAAGCCTCTCTGCCATTTGGTGAGGCCTCACGTCATCATCCTGGGGCCAGGCCCAGAGGTCACGCCCTCAGTAGGTTCTGGGTGTGAGGATGGGCACTTGATGTGCCTTTTAGAGAATCACTGAATCAATGAGGTTGGAAAAAACCTCTGAGATTGATTGAACACCCCATGTCACCTACAGCATGGCACTCAGTGCCTCCTCAGTGCTGTATTCAGTCTCTGCTTAAATACCTTCAGGGACAGTAACTCCACCACCTCTCTGGGCAGTCCAATATCCAAATACCATTTCTGTCAAGAAAATTCTTCTTGATGTCCAACCTAAATCTCCCCTGGTGCTGCTTAAAACTATGTCCTCTCATCTTGTCACTGATTACCTGGGGCAAGAGACCAACCCTGGCCTACAACTTCCTTTCAGGGAGCTGTAGAAAATGATAAGGTTTGTATGAAAGACATTCTGTGCTGTTCTTGTGAGCCAGCAAAGGCCTCCTAGAGATAAAGGAAAGCCCTGTATCTCTCCTGAGGAAGACACCAAGGTTTTCACCATGGCAAGGTGATGAAGGAGAGAAAGTTAAAAGATACAGACTCTAGCTGGCTCACAGAATGACGTGGCTCCTTGGTCACCTACTGAGAACTTTGTTTCTTTCTTATAACCAATGGGCAGTGAATGTGTCTGTAAAATGTAAATATCTTGAAAAAGTTTAAAAGCAACACATTGCTATAATAAATCTCTCTTGCACCCTTCTGATGGAGTCGTGGTACTTTGTGCTGTGTCGCGCTCTATAGCGACAAGGGTCCCCATGAACCTCCTTTACTTTTAGGCGAACTGCCCCCAGTTCCCTCAGCTGCTCCTCGTAGGACTCGCGCTCCAGACCCTCCACCAGCCTTGGCGCGTCTCCAAAGCAATGCGTGAAACGACAACGTTCAGAGGATCCCTGCTCCATCTGAACGACAGCGACGTGGAGTTCCTTGGACCTCCAGAAAATTCAGTCGCAGTTCGGCCGGATGACGTTTCTCAGGGATGATTCTGCACCCGGCTGGCTTCCCTCGGCAGGAGGAGGGAAAAGCCGCCCCGCTCGGCCAGGCCCTGCCCGCAGCCCGGGCTCGGCGGGCACCGCCGGCCTCCTCGGCCCCGTGGGCGGGCGCGGGGGCGGCCCCTTCCCGCCCGGCCTCCTCCGGCCCCGCCGCTTCCCCGGCAGCTCCGGGCCCGGCTCCGCCATGGGCGCCGCTCGCTGCTCCCGGCTGGTGCTGCTGCCGCTGCTGCTGCTCCTGGCGCCGTGGGGCCTGCATGTGTCGGGGGAGCCCCGCTCGGCGCGGCGCCGCTGGCCGGTGCCCTACAGGTGAGTGCCGCCCCAGGGCCTCGGCCGCGCTGCTCCTGCCTCTCTGTGCCTTAGCCTGAGAGGCCATGGGAAGCTTCCCCTTTCTGATCTCGGGGTGGTGATCATTGACACGGTGTTTGGCGTGGGAGCCGTGGTGCCATGCCAGGCCGAGCTGTGCTTGGTCTCTGCAGCGGGGGGTATTGGTTCCCCGGGAATGACTGCCCGTTTTAAACACGCACCTTAATGCCCACAGAAAAGGTTAGGGTGAGGAATTCGGAGTACGGGGTTTTTTTGCTTTTTAAATTTAACTTAACGTCATGCTTCGTGACAAATGAAACGGTACAAAATGCCGTTCGCTGCTCCAGAGCTGCCTGACCTCCAGAATTCCTGCTGGTGTCGGGGACAACAGGAGACTGCACGTTGTGTTGTGCAAATAGCGATAGATTTGGCCGTGCCGAGGAAATGAGCCCCTCCAGGAGAAGCACTACGTTGGATTGTGTATTTTGTGCGGGTTTGCTGTTTGTAAAGGGAGTAGTTGAAAATGTTTAACTGCAGCTAAATAATGCACACCTGAAATTTTGAGAGTTTGTTGTGCAATTCCCAGCAGTTACATTTGTGTCAGGTGATGCCTGAAGGAGCTGGTCTTGCAGTCAGGAGTTGTTGGGATTTTCCAGCAAGTTCAGGAATTGCAGGGCTGGGCTTTGGGATGGTCAGATTTGGAGAACAATCCTGTTGGTGTGAGATGCTCAGAAATGTGGGGTTTCAGTGTTTCTTAACATGCTTGTTGCCTTCTTGTCACATGCAGTGCAAGGGGTAATTGAAAGTATAAGGTGTGCACACTAGAAATAGGACTTGAATGTGTGGTTGGCCTAAGTTTTTGTTTTCTGTGTGTTTTGTTCAGACATACTCGTTAGGGTTTGGGGATTGTTTTTCCCTTCTTTTTCTTTTCTGCCCCTCCCCCCGGGCAACCAGACAAGATCTGGACAAGTTGTGCATGCCAGTTTGTAATGGTATCAGGAATACAGGAGTGTTGTTTTAAGGGAAATACAGGAACGACTCTAAAGGAACTTGGAACAGGAAGACCTGTTACAGTGGGTTGATCCTGGCTGGATGCCAGGTGCCCACCAAAGTCACTCCATTATTCCCCTCCACAGAGGGGAGGAAGGAAAGGACAGAGGAAGGAAAACACAAAGCAAGGTACCGTGAGGGTTCACGAGTTAAGGACAGAGAGAGATCACTAACCAAATACCATCACAAGGCAAAACAGACTCCGCTTTGGGATATTAATTGAATGTATTGCTAACAAAATAAGAGCAAAATAAATTAAAATAAGAAGTAGAATAAATCTTAAAAATACCTTTTCCCCAACCCTCTCTCCTTCCCAGTTTCTGCCTCCATCCCCTAGTGCTGCAGGGAGATGGGGAATGAGGGTCAGGCTCATTTCATCAGATGCTGTTCCTGCAGGGAGAGGAGTCCTTCCCCTACTCCAGTGTGCGGTCCCCTCCACAGGAGACAGTTTTCCATGAAGTTCTCAGCCTGAGTCCCTCCCACAGGCAGCAGTTCTTCATTACCTGCTCCAGCAGGGGTCACTCTTCCACGTAATCCTTCAGGCACCGTCTGCTCCAACGCGGGTCCCCCAGAAGGTCACAAGTCCTTCCAGGAAGCCTGCTCCAGCATGGGCTCCTCTCTCCATAGGTCTGCAGCCTGCTCTGTGGGGTCAAAGCGTCCTTTAAGGGATCCACCTGCCCCAATGTGGGTTTGTTCCACAGGCTGCAGGGGAATCTCAGCTCCAGCTCTCTCCTGCTCCTCCTTCTTCACTGACTGTGGCATCTGCAGGGCTGTGCCTCGTACGTATTCTAAGCCTGCTCTTCTCTGGCCACAATTACAGCAGTGCATTAACTTTTTTTTACTTCTTAAATTTATTATCACAAAGGTCTTGCTGTCATTTCTGATTGTCTCAGCCCTGCCCAGTGTACGGTCCATCCTGGAGCTGGCTTTGCCTGACATGGAGCAACCTTCTGGTGACTTCTCGCAGAAACCACCCCTGTAGCCACCCGGCTTCCAAAACCCGGCTGCACACTCCCCCCTACACTTGTCAAAAAGGTTCTTTGCTGTTTGAATATAGTGTGATAAGGAAGTGGATTGGGTCTTCAGTTTTTGAGGTTTGATAGGAATGAAATAGAAACAACGATTCCAACAATGTTCTTAGACCTCTTTATCTAAATTAGCATAGAGGGATTAATTATTTTTCTGGACTTTGCAGTATTGTAGTCAAAATAGCTGCTCTGGGGACCTCTTACTATAGAATAGCAAGAACAGATTGGTCAATCCCCATGTAAATAAATTGCCAGGAGAATGTTTTTGAGGCAGATCTCAAACTATCCTTTTGAGGCAGATATCCAAACTGTCTCTGATCTGGTGAGTATGTCACCCTTTGTAATCCACATTATTTCCACTCCTTCACGATCAGTACAATATGACTTCCATTTGTGAGCCTGAAGTCCTGTTTCTGTAGATGTGCACCCCAGCAGCCTTATGAACTGGAGTACTCCAAGTGTTGCAGTGTCTGGGTCACAGAATGTGTCTTGTGGGGTGCTGGACATGTAAGCTGTCCCCCTTAGGAAGCTGTTAGTCTAGCTGCAAAGCTGTGCTTGTCATTCCGTGTGCCTCTCTTTCTCAACGCAGGCGCTTTGATTTCCGTCCCAAGACCGATCCTTACTGCCAAGCTCGCTACACCTTCTGTCCCACTGGCTCTGCCATCCCGCTTATGAAGGAAGAGGATGTCATTGAGGTGTATCGACTGCAGGCTCCAGTGTGGGAATTCAAGTACGGGGACCTGCTAGGACATTTGGTAAGGTGACGTTTTTAACAAAGTTAGAGTGACAAATTCAGCTGAATTTAACAGCAGGTGTTAAGAGTGGGAGCTGTGAGGTTGGGCTAGGCTTGTATGGAAGAATATTAGAGCACACAATTAGGGCTGGGCTATCTGTAGGGCAGATATTTAAAGAACACTGAGTTTCAAACAAAATGTACAGGATTCAGCTCAGCTGAAGACAAGAGCAGCGTCATTGGTGGGTTTGAACACGTTCCCTTCTGTAGCTGCATAAGTGCTTTGTATACACACACCATTAAGTCTTGGATGTCTTTTCTTCTGTGCTATCATCACATCAAGAAAATACTTTTATTTGTCCCTTTATATCAGGTAAAATAGTTGGTTAGTGTATTAATTTTTCTCTTGTTAAAAACTCACATGTTTGCTTGGACATTAGTATCTGTCAGGAGCAGACAGCCAGCTGGTCAGAATGGTGGATCATGAGAAGTTGGTTGCTTTTACAGTTCTTTGTTGAGTGTTATGATGAGTATGGAATTGAAGTCTCCATTCATGGAATCATGCAAACATGAAGTGTCAACTTTAGTAATATTTATAGTTATAGCAGTAGCAAAATTAATCTTCAAAGCATGATTCCTAATTAGTAAAGAAATGTTAGTGAATCAAAACCAAGCACAAAGAGTTAAAAATGGAAATAGATTCAAATATTATCTCAATTGTTAACTAAGTTTGAATTTATGTTTTTACTGTACAGCTTTTAAATGAAGTGTTTATCTCATTAGTTTTAAAGCATTTATTAGAAAGATCTGGTTTTGGTAACTTGGTTCTGCTCTTTATTTCTCTGAAGCCCCCATGAAGTTAAGGATTCAAAAGACGGCTTGAGTCTTGATGATTAGCTCCCACTGAGTATCTTCTTCCAAATGACAGAATTTACAATGGATGGATAGACAACCACTGAGACAGCATGATGCTCTGAATAGTAGTGTGTGTGTCATGCAATCTGGTGTGTTGTGCTTCAGTGTTACAGAATTCAAGATGTTATAGGAACTCCCTCCTCTCTTCTCACCCTGTTACAGAACAGCTCCTGAGCATCTTACCTTCTGTACAGGTGAAGCTGAAGTTGTTATGAAATCAATGTTTTGGTAGTTTGGTTCTTTGTGTTTTTTCTTTTATTATTTTCCAGAAAATTATGCATGATGCTGTGGGTTTCAAGAGCTCTCTAACAGGCAAAAACTACACAATGGAGTGGTATGAGCTCTTCCAGCTTGGGAACTGCACATTTCCACACCTGCGGCCTGGCATGGACGCACCGTTCTGGTGTAACCAGGGAGCTGCCTGCTTTTATGAAGGAATAGATGATGCACACTGGAAGGCAAATGGAACTTTAGTTCTTGTGACCACAATATCAGGTACATTTTAGATGCTTTGGATAATGTTACTATAAAATATAGAGTCAGCCTTGACTTCTGTAAAGCTGTATCTTTTAATTTATGTTCTGTAGGTTATTTGCAGCATTAGTCAATGATGCTAATTTCAGACATTCTGTTGAATACAGAAAGTGGTATGAGGCTGCTGCCTTTTGAACAATTCACACTGAAGAGTTGTTAAGTGAGAGTCATTTGGTGTTGCTGTACAAAAACACTTGAGTCTCTTGAGTGTAAAAATAGCAAAACAGCTTAAACAGAGTCATTATGGACTCCTTTCACATGGCTTCACCAAAACAAAATCTTCTATTGTGAAGTGGCAGATGACTGCTGAGATGGAAAAACTGTTGAAAACATGTTCATTATTGAAC